GTGCTAACAAACAGGACTAGAATTATAGACCTGTCAGTTCAGCTTCAGTTCCTGGAAAAACACTGGAACAAATAACCAAACCAACTATTTGTGAGCACCCAGAAGAGCAAGAGGGGATGAGCAACAGGTAGTGTGGAGCTTTTTGGGATGCAAGAGACACAAACCAATCTAATTTCCCACTCCACTAGGATAACCCATTGAGACTGGTTTGTGTTTTGGAGCAGTTTCGCATGCATCCTTATGAGGATGGCATGGATGAAAATACCTGGGTGCAAAACTGGTTGGAACACTGACAGAAGGAAGCTTTTGAGGGAGGTTCTGAGGGGGCTGTTTTGTGTGCATGTCTCTTGTTTCCATATATGATCTGATGGAAGAACGAGTATACAGTTCAGAATTGCAGCTGACACTATACTGGCAAAGGCTGTGAGCACAGTGGGCAGGATTAGAATTCAGTATGATCTTTGCAGGCTGGGGATGCAGTAAAAACCCTAACCCAGCTTGCCATTCAGCTGAGATAGAGCATCATCCCTGTGCTGAAGATGGATTGATCTATTGCAATAAATGTAATATAGGTTATTATATAGTTATAACAGGTTGGGGAACAACAACTACATGTGTAGTTGATCCATCAATAAGAATGAAAGATTTTGATGGCTCACAAGCTGATGGTGAATAAGCAAGGCCATGCTGTTGGAGAAAAAGCACATCAAATGTATAAGCAGGACTGTTGCCACTATGGCAAGTGCCATGATCCTTGCAGTCAGCTCTGTGCTTATAAACAGGAGCACAGTGTTTGCTTTTGGCAGGTATGGTTCAGGACAAGTGTGCTGGTTTAAGCCCAGCAGCTAAGTACCTCACAGCTACTTGCTCACTGCCCCACTCCCAGTGGGATGGGGAGGAGGAGTGGGAAAAAGAAAAGGTAAAAAAGGCATGGGTTGAGATAAGAGCAGTTTAATAACTGAAATAAGGTAAAATATAATAATGATAGGAAATAAAAACAGGAAGGAATAAATCCTGGCCACCAAAAACTCCCTTGATGCACAATACAATTGTTCACCACCCACTGACTGATGCCCAGCCCATCCCCGAACAGTGATTGGCACCTCTTGGCCAACTTACCCCAGTTTCTATACTGGGCATGATGTGCTATGGCATGGAATATCGCTTTGGCTAGTTTGGGTTAGGTGTCCTGGTCTCCTGTATCTGCTCCCTCCGAGCTTCTTGTCCCCCTCCTCACTGGCAGAGCATGAGACTGAAAAGTCTTTGATCAGGGTAAGTGCTAGTGAGCAGCAACTAAACCATCGGTGTGTTATCAGCATTGTTCTCAGACTAAAGCCAAAACACAGCACTGCATCAGCTACTAGGAAGAAAATGAACTCTATCCCAGCCAAAACCAAGACACAGAGCTGGAGAATGGTTGAGTATGAAAATGAAAGCAGTAAGACTGATCAAAAAACTGAGTCTACCAGGGACAATTGAGGGGGGTTTGTCCTCAGGAGAGGGAGACTAAATCTCTTCCAAAACATTGTCAGCTGCTGCAAAACAAGAAGAGAATGCTTTGGTCTTCCTGACCCTTGCAGTTAGGACAAGAAGCTATGGGCTAAACTGCTTTGAGGGGAAATCAGGGTGCTTTATTTTCAGGAATTAATCTGAGGCTAAGGGAATGTGAAGGACTGGAACAGATTCCCTCAGAGAGGTGAGTCTGACACTGAGAACAAGCTAGACCTCTCTGTGTTAGGAATGACCTATGCAATGTCTCCTTTACACATGTGGATGGACTAAATGACCTCTGGAAATCCCTTCTAGACCTCTGGTTCTGCTAGGGTTAATTTACACTTCTCTACCAGCATAAATCAGGTGAATTTAACTAAGTCATTGCCAATAACTTTGTGTTGATGGTAAGGGAATCTTGTCTTCTAGGCAGTACAGCTGTAGATATCCAGGGGTTTTCCACTTTTGGACTGAGAAGTATTGAATGTGTAAGCACAGGGAGGAACAGGGTAGGTGAGTGCACAAAGCAATGAGTAAATCACAATATCTAACTTAAAACTCACTCATCAATCAGTGCGTTAACTAAGAGTTGGGGATTTCATCCCATTTTGCCTTAGCCTTAGATGTTGGTGTTTTCAATGGCTGATAGAGAGCAGTAATGCAGAGCAGGCTTCTTACAGCTCCCCAAACAGCAGATGACACCTTATATACTGCAGACAAGTTGATGATACTGATATTTTCAGCCACCAAATGCTATTAGTTTTGCCAGCATTTGGGCTCTTCCTTTCATCCACAACTCTTCATAGAGTCTGCTTAATGTTTTGCATTTTTATTTTGTATTTTTTTCCCTGTACCTAATTTCTGGACCCTCAGTCTCCCTTTTTAGTCTTAATCAAAGGTAATTTCTTCCTTAGAGCTGTCTGCACATAACATCTCCATTATATGTGCAAGTAGGATCCCAGTACGTGATGTTTCACTTCACGTGTGACACTGTAATCATTGTGATGGTGTTTTCTTTGAAAGCTCCATTCCTGATACTTGAAGAGAATTCCCAATTTCTGCATCTAGATACTTGTTGATTTCTAAGGAAAGACACATTAAAACCTACCAGGGCATTTTAAGTTGGCTACTTCTTGCTTCATTTATTTATCCATCACAGAGCTCTTATTAGGCTTTCAACTAAGAAAATGCATTCTTGCATCCAAATAGAGGAATACTACAACCATGAAGGAGCAAAGACTTATGCTCAGCTTTTGAGTTCTCTTTGTGGACAAATCCCCAAGAAAGCAGTTCTATGGAATTCTCCTGATTAGGAGAACTGACTAATTGGTGAAATAACCCACGTCTGATTGGCTTCCCCTCAGTTTCCTAAATCCAGACTCTTGAAAAGGTTCAGGTTTGCATGTAAGCCTTGACGGAACTGTCCAAGTTCAAATATTGTGAGGCGATGGGTCAGCAGAGTTACCCAAAGCTTGTCTGGCACATAAATGGCTCCCAGAATGATGGATTAGGACTCCAGACCCCTCAGCTTTCTCTTTTCCCTGTGTGACACTGTAACGCTTCCATCACTTTAGCTGTGCTGTCTGTACAGGGGGGCAGGTTCTTGCAGCCATTGGAAAAGGGGCCAAAGGGGTTGAAGCCCTCTACTACTACCGCAGAGGTTCAGCATAGCAGTGGGTCTGAGGTTTGTTGCTCTGGTGTGACTGTAGGCAAGATAGAACTGTTCTTATTCTAGTTAGAAGCATGCAACTATTCCTGTAGTGCTGAGTCATCAGTATTTGTGTCTGTTTGCATATGTTTGCGTGGTGACAATCTGGAAGCTCCAAAGGGAGATGGTATTTCAGGCTTTGCCTTGGGCATGAGCTGACCTGTGACACTGTGCAGTGCAAAGTGCAGCCAAGTGACACAAGGGAAAGTTGTGGCTTGTTTCTTATTTAAATGGATTTATTTTTTAATTATATTTAATTATATTTTAAATTTTTATTTTATTTTATTTTTAATTATATTTTAAATATCATTTAAATGAATTTAATGAATTTAAATGATATTTAAAAAGTCCCAGAAAACCCTCCCACCCAAAAGACATGTTTCTTGCAGTTGTACTTGTCCATTCTGATACAACAGCACTGCCCATGATTGGGTTTTGCTATTTTCTTTTGTCCCTAGGAAATGTCAAAATAAATTAGACTTATAGCAAGCTAATCTTGTGACTATGTGTTTCAGAGTTCCTGTGTTCTGGAGTGTGGTATCTGTGCTCCTTGGATGCTGCCAGTGGCATTGGCTGTTCCAGCTATGTCTGGTCTCAGAGTGGCAGCTATAAATGGTACAATTTGCCCTGTGTGAGGCCATGGGGACATGCTTCTGTGGGGGGGAAATGCCCCCCCCCCCCCCCCCCCAAGCCCTGCAATGGTGAGCAATGTTCTGCAGGGAAATTTGCATTTAGTAGATCCCCCCACCCCTTGCAGTTGTCAGTTTGGAGATTCTTTCAGCTTATTGCAAAGCCAGTTACAAGCTTTTTAAATTAGCTTTATACTCATACATCAATAGGATGTTTTACATGCTTTTAACACTATAGAGAAATGAAAACAAAACTTAAGGCAAGCTTTCTCTTTCTCTGCCTAAATTAAAGCTAAAGAATAAGGGTGTAAGAAAAAGCCTGTGGCTCCTTAGAACATATGCTGCATCCTGTGGTATGATACGAGTAATATATCATAAATGTCATGGTATGAAATAGCAACTACAACTGCAAAGTCAGTGCAGCACCCCCAGCCTCACCACAGTGACCTCTGGGACTGGTGCTGTCCACCCTGCTACCAGTTGTGCCTTCTCCCTTCCTATATCCCTCCTTTCATACCTTTTATGGTCTTCAGTATCTAGTGGATGAACTGTCAAACCAGTAGCTTCTACTACATCATCCCTTCAAGGAAAGGCTGTGTGAGAAGTGCAGGATCCAACTGTGTGTGATCTGCAAAGCTTTAGAGGCGCTGGGCTGTCTCCAGTGCATGTGACAAGCGTATGTGCCTCCACTTGCGAGTGGTGCAAGTGGTGCCTTAGAGCATGGCTCTTATGCAATTGACTTGCTCATATCCTGAGACCCCATCATCTCTGTGTGTCTGTAGTGTCAGCACAAAGAGGACACATACTGTAGCGTGTGGCTGAGGAAGTCACTTGTGCATGGCTGGGATTTTAAGTGTAGAAAATCCAAATCCTGGCTTTTTTTTCTGCAGAAGTAAGCAGGGAGTAGAGATGCAGATGATGCTAACCATGGCTTATGAGTGTTAAGCTAAATATAAAGCAACCTGATCATGGCAAGGACATAAGAGGGTTCAGTAAATGTTTGTATTGATTAAACTATTAACAAGAATAGCAAATCCCATTACACTAATCAGTATTATATTGCTCTCCTGCCCCCTCCTCCCACTTTCTCCTCCACGGAATGTTTTTCCTAGAATACAGCAGACACATACAGGGCCACCTCAGAGCCCTGGCTGTCTGAAACACCACCCCAGCATTCACTGTGGAGATGGATGGTGTCTGCACGCTGGGCTCTGGCTTCAGTGGAGCTCTGTGTGGTGATGTCTACTCAGGAGAGGAAAGCCTGGAGAAAAGTGGAGAGAGACTGCTAGTAAGAGAATGAGAATGCTGAAGAGTATTTAACCCAGAGGAGGCATACAGGCATCCAGGAAAGATTAGCGTTGGCTCCTAGATCAGTTACTAACATGTTTTCAAATGATGAAAGGATGCGTTCATGTAACCAGCTTCCCTCTGCTTCTCTATTGCCAGGCAAAACTGTTGTATTTGAAATCCAAGTCTGTGCTTGCTTAAAAAGAGTAAAGAGATGGAAGTATTACAGTTGGGAATGGGGAGAAAGAACAGGACTTGGGTGATCAGTTATTTCTGCTCTGAGTTGTAGGATAGAGGGTTTGGTGGTAAAGTTTGTTTTCTTTAAATAGACTTATAGACTTATGTTAAATGGATCAAAGTGATCTATTGAAAAGCATTTGTTTGGATCGTTTTTTTTTTTTAAAAGTTCATCAAAACTTGGAATGTTTTCAGGGATTTCTGAAAATCTCTAATTTTAATGCAGTATGGTTGAGGGGGATGTGTCCCAACAGATGTTGACGAAACCTTTTAGCCAGGTTTGTAGCATTTAAGAGCAAGTTACTTCAATTCTTTTTGTTATGCATCAATAATAAAATGTTCAAGACTACTTCAGGAATTCAAATCCCTCATTCCCAGTCAAATTAAAAGCAAGGGGGCATTCAGGTCCCTTACTCAGCTTCAGCAGCCTAGAACTTCAGTGTTAGCTTGCAACAGCTAATATGTATTAAACACACTTTCAAGTGCAGTTTTATTATCATTTATCTCGTGGTAGTATTGCCTCACAGTCATAATTTTTTGCTTCTATGCAGTAGTTCTCTGTATCCCAAAGGACAGGAAAGCTTTATAAACAAATGTAGGCCATTCTCAAGTCCTCGGGCAAGCAAAACTTCCACGGAAGTCTCCAGGAGCTTTGCTCACATAATGTGTCTAGCTTCATGCCATGAACACTGCTGTGTATACAAGCAGATGTTCTCCTTTGAGTGAAAGTGACTTTGGGGGAATAGTAGTAGTCATGTAGCAGCCCACACGCATCCCCTGCAATGGTCTGGAGGAGAAAATAATGGTTATCAACTCAAACTACAGAAGGTTATGTGCACAGAATGGGATTATGCATGGAGGGAGTTGATGACTGACTCAGAATGGGGTTCTGGCTAAAGGAAACCTTTTCTAGGACATTCTGCAGAACATATGGGTTTGGCTTCCTTCACAGAACAGGTTATTTGCCAAATATGTAAAGACTAAAACTGCAAGCTTTTCATTTGGGAAGTTTCTGCTTTAGCATGTTCTCTGCCAGTGCTTTGATATGCTGGAATTAAAATGTTTGGTTTTCACTCTGGCTTGATATTAAGCTGGTTTAATATCTTACAGAAGCTGTTTTGAAAGCTTTCCTTTTCCTCTCTAGATCCGTCTCCCTGGATGGGTGACATCTCTTATCATCAGTCAGGCAGTTCTGAGTTGTGCCTTTAGATAATGAAAACCAAGACCTTGCATATTTCTCCCCAGCAGAGTTCTTCCTCTGTTTCCTTTCACCTCAGATGTTTGGGTTTTTTCTGTGTATATACCAGTATTTCAGTCTCAGTGTTCTTTTCTCATATATTAGACTCGCAAAGGAATCGGAGACCTGTCTCATGGTTCAGGAGGTGCTTCTTGTCTTCATCCAGTTTCTTGTCTTGCAATTGAAGTCACCACCTGTAATCCTCCCCTGCCTGGAGTTTGTCACTTCTGATCCCAGCTATGCTCCTTCCCATAGCATTTCTTCATTGTGGCATGACAGGATTACCGTGTAGCGCTCCATGGGTTTCCTTCTTGGCTGAAAGGCATCAGGAGAGGTCTGGCTCTTCAGTGCTGTTCATTCACTTCAACTGACTTCATTCATGCTGCCCTTTTACTGCATCCCCTCCCTCATCACACTTGCCCTGTATGGCTGCAGCCACTGGCACACACATTGCAGAGGGAGGAACAGATTATTTCATAAATGGTGAAGGTTGGAAAACAGCTGAAGCTCATCCAGTTCCAACCCTCTGCCATGGACAGGGATGTCTCATGCTAGACTAGGTTTCTCCAAGCCCTGTCTGACCTGGCCTTAAACACTGCCAGGGATGGGGCATTTACCACTTCATCAGTCACTCTGTTCCAGTGCCTCACCACCCTCACAGTAAAGAACTTCTTCCTTATATCTAACCTGAACCTCCCGTGTTTCAGTTTAAACCCATCACCCCTTGTCTTATCGCTACAGTTCCTGATGAAGAGTCCCTCTCCAGCATCCTTGTAGGCCCCCTTCAGATACCCACCTGTATGTTCAACATGGCATCTGCACCATGCTTGATGGCCCTGATCCTGTACTCAGAAAGGTCAGTGCAAAGATACTACTGAGATATAAACACCTGAAGGCAGTGTTAGATGGAAAACCAGGGACCTCCTCCCCTTTAGCATGAAAAGATTAGACCAACAAGTGGGGACACCTGGAGATCCATCTCATTTGCTGTCTTTTAGGGGATTTTTCCTGTCCTAAAGCCTGGATCAGTGAATCACAACAGGCTCTGGGTGCTTTGGTTCAGGCAGGGATGCTTGGGAATATACCATTTCACTTCTCCTAGCCGTGTGCTGGAGCAAATGTAATTCCAAAGCCATCACATCCTGCAGCAGTGAGACCACAGGAATGAAGGAGAAATGATCCAGCAATGAAGAAGCTACAGGGTATATTTGGGTTTGCCCTTTAAAAGCAACTACTGCACCTCTTAAATCTAAATGAGATGCTGGAGAGCAGCTAATGCTCTGCCTCAGTGTTGGAGATGGAGCTGGCTGGTCTTGCTTTTGTGACTGATCTACATCTGCTGCAGGTCTGGCTGCGAACTCAGCGGAGGATCTGCTTGTGTAGCAGCAGGCTCTGAAGCACCTCCCATGTTCCCTTGCTGTGAGAGCCTGTTGTCCCTTTGCACTCCCAGTGATTTTGGTGGCAGTGCTTGCAGGGCAGAACTGAGCTCTGGGTAAACACCCACCAACGACAGACCCTGAAAAAGGGTTTGTGTCTGTAATTTTTAGTTATTTAATGCACATTTGGGTCACATCACTTGATATATGTGAGATTGCTACATATGTGAATGTGCACCAGTGTTGACAAGCTGTGGTTTTACAGCTGTTTCAGATAGTATAGGACAGCATTTACCAGTTAAGGCAACGCAAGCCAAATCTGGTTTGACTTTGCCCATCGGGCAGCTGGTTGCATGTTGCTGTGCCCCAGGTGGGACTCTGTGGGGCTGGATTGGTGCAGTAAGGCGGCATCCGTCAGGTGTTAGAATGCCGGAGGGGACAGGAGCCTGTTCCAAGGATGCTTTCCCAGCCCTCTTGCTGATGGGTGGGTCATCCTTCCTGGTCCCAGCAGAGGTAAAAGCTGCCATTACAGTGGATGCTGCTTAGTTCTGAAGTGCATGTAACTGAGCTGTGAGCATGTTTCCTCACCTCTCAGTTTTTGGACTCCAGTGGAGGCACAAGGAGCTGCAGGCTTCTCTTCAGGAAAGTCAAGGCACAGTTCACTAGGCAAGAGAGGACTGTGACACAGAGGGCTGCAAAGAGAAAAGTGCTGCTGTTTCAGCCACTCACTCCACAGCAAAAGAACATTATCGTGTCCACTAAATAAATAAAAGCATCTTCAATAATATGATTATATAATGGTCTATTTATATATAGATAAAAAATATATAAAAATAAATAAATGTCATCACGGGCCTTGGATTCCCAGAGCAAACAACACAGCGGAACTGCTCCCTGGTCCCACTCCTATCAGTGCCCTTTGCACTGGGGACAGGAGGAAGGTTTGGGTGGGGAAGAGGCTGCTCACAAGCGGAGCTCCCTCCACACTATGCAAGAGAGCACTGCATCCCTCAAATGAGCACTAAGTAATGGCAGCCAGCAGCAGGGTGGCCACAAGCACTGGGCCCACCAGTGCTGGCTAGAATTGAGAGCAGGGGCTTGAGGAGGGTCATGGTAGAGGTGGTGATTCAGGGATTTGGGTGACAGGTTTCTTGGTTATTTACCCCATCTGTTTCTGTGATATGCTCCACATCTAATGAGCATCACTTGGGAAAGGAGGGCAAGATGCTTTCTTTTTCTGCTATGTCATGAAGAACAATTTAGCTGCCTCCTCTTAACAGCTTTTATTGCCATTCCTCTCTTCATCTTTGGTAAGAAAGCAAAGTGCTTTCCTGGGAATCTACAGCCAGTCTGCCTTCAGTGCTGAGGCTCTTGCAAGCCTGAAGAACACCTTCAAATGGTGACAAGTCTTGCAGAGGAGACTTGGCATGCAACTAAACTACATAATATAATCTGTAATGCAAACATTTATAGAGCAAATAAATAACTCTCAATGAATGTGCCTTATAAATAAACTCACACTTTACATTAGCAGGCTATTTCTAAGTCTTCCTTCCTATAAACAGCTAGCACTGGTAACAAACCTCTTCCAGTGAACACTGAGGCAGTAGTATCTTCTGTGTGAAGAACTAACCAGGAGGAGAACTTCTGCCATCTGATAAAGGCCCAGTGCTGCCAGCTACTGAATTGTGTTTTGGTGATGGGAGCTGTGGGGGTTTATTTCTTTTCTATGCCAAAGGAGGGAGCTCAGGTGGTCCCCGGGACAGTGGGGGGTTTGCAGAGCTGATGCTGCACATGTTGGCTCTGTCCTATCCAGGTACTCTTAGTTATAAGCCCAGCTTTACCTTTAACACGTTTTAAGCTGTCAGTGACCAACCCTGGTGAGGAGTGGCCACAAACAAGGACTTTGGTTTTGAAAACCATGTTAAGGGAAAAAACCTTAATGGCTACAACATTTTAAAGACATTTCCCCCCTCATCTAGACTTCATTAGAGAAATGCAATATGTTCAATTGCACTTGACTGCAATAAGTGGTTCCTACCTGGAGCCTTGAAAACCTTCTTCCATTTAGAGGAGGTTTTTCTCTCAGGTAAGCTGTGTGTGTCTGGTTCCATTTCTTCCCATATCAGGATGGACGGCTTCTTCATCAGCCCGTACATGCCTGCCAAATTAACAGGGTATCAGCTGCATTAACTCATTCAGCTCTCTCTTGAACTACATTGTTATGTTTCTCCAGATGAAATATTGCCCCTTGCAACTATTTCTGATTAAAAAGCTGAACATAATAAGCTCTATACTATTCACACTGGGGAGGAGGGAGGCCACAGTTTGCAAGACTTAGAGTGTAAAAGTAATGCTGCTCCAAAGACAGTTATTCCTTCGCAGATCCATTGAAATTTGTTATTACATGTTCCATTGGAATTTCAAATCTTTTTTTTTTTATCAGTTGCTTGAAGTTATTTTTAGGAAAGCTTTGGAAGCATTTCCATCATTTATGTGAAGAGGCCATACCGAATAAACAGGAGAAAGCCCTGTTGTCTGAACAACCTAATGCACTTCAAAAGGCTCAGCTACACACCGTGGTGTCAGGTTATTTGCAGAAGGTCAGATCAATTTTGTCATCAGGCAAACATTAGCACATTACTTTTCTTAGAAGCAAAGCAAGTCAAGTTTTTTCCAAGAAATACATTTGAGGAAAAATCAAATGGCATTTGTTAGAAACCATCACTCACTGGGGCTTGTTCTCTTTAAGGCACTTACTCCCTTATTACCTTTGTAACGGTAAGCCATTGCATCCAAATGTCATACAGGGGCAAATCTGGGTTTAAAAGTTTCCTACTCTGTAGGGCAAATGAATCAGAACTGGGGCCTGTGTGTCTGTGGTGAAGTGAATAATCTTTGAGAGGGGATTTTTATCTGTTTGCTTACTTAACTTCAAAAGAGGGTTCTGGCCCATTAAATGCAGTGTCTACTCAAAGGACCATGTCCTTTAAACCTGGTGGCTGCTGGAAGTTGTCTCCAGACAGTGGATGTAAAGGAGAGGGGGAAGGATGGCTGCTGGTTGAGGGAATGGTGACTTCCTGTGTAAGGAAAGAAGTGCCCTGCTTTGCTTTAAGGAAAGAGAGTGGAGTAAGGTTTGAAGGAAAGTATTTCCTTAGTGTTGATGCAGGAGTCCAAGGAAAGCTCTGGGTGAATTCTTCTGGCCAAGAACTGTCTGTGTCTATGCCATGTTTGCTGAAAGCTGTAACGAAAGACATGTTGGGTGGTGGTTGGCTCCTGTTATCTGTCCATACCTGTAATGCTGGCCCTGAGAAAGGAGACTTGGACTGAAGCCCTGATTCACATCAATCCTGGATGCAACAGTCTGTCACATGGTTTAACTCCCTGTGTTGTTCTCATATATCAGATATCGATCATGCATCTCACTTGTCAGATATGATTATTAAAGTGCAGTGCCACATGTATTGTAACCATGGTCTGCGGCACGTCCCTCAGGGAGGCAGCAGCAAGACTTGCCTTGTCCCCAGTCCTCTCTGCTTCTCAGAAAATAGTGTTAAGACTTAAGGTCCTCATTCATCTGCTCCCGTGTTTAGGTTGCAGAGTCAGTGCATCACCCTGTTTTGCATCAGACGGTGTGAATCCACATGACTGACACATAGACATGACCTGTGCTCTGGAGCTGGTGGCATGCATAACAAATCTGCTAGAGAGTTCTAAAGAGAGATGCAAAGAGCAAATGGATGACAGCAGCATTCCTCTTGCCACCACTCTTTCCAGCATCCAGACATTTGGGGATATTGTTTCTGCTGGATTATAGACTTTTATTGTTAAAGGCTGTAATTTGTTCTCCTGTTTCTGCCTGTATTTTTATTTTCTGGACCTTATCCAAACAACACTGAAGTCTGCTGTTTCTGAGTGGATGGATGGATAAGAAGGGCACAGTCCCTCTCTTTATGGTTTGTATGGTTATGGGAACTGATCAGGAATTTTCCATCAGTGTGTTTACTCATTGGAAAACGTGGTCTCCACAAATTGAAAGCCGGATGGAAATCTGAATCTCTGATGAGGACTAAAAGCTTTCCTGGTGCTGCACGAGTCTTGGGGAGTAAGAAGGAGAGAAAATGCATTTTTAATACATGTAAATATGAAACCACAAAGGTGGCGAGAGGGAAGGAGTGGAAGGCAAGAAACCTGAATGGATTTTTAGTTTCATATTGACAACATCTCAATTAATTTAATGATGGGAGTGGGGAAAACAAGGCTCTAATGGGGGACAGACACTTGGGCTTTTACAGGGAAAGGAAGTTCAAATACAAAATGGGTTTTCAGGAGCTGGAAAAATCATGACTTTCTGGGTCATTTGGCACAGCTACAAGGTTTAAATGGGCTTGAGGTCTTTATGTTGTGATTCCACCTTTGGGACAAGGCAGAATGGAACTGAACTACATTAAGACCTATAGGGAAAAGCCTCTGGGAAAGGGGGAAAGCAGTTAGGGGTAGTGCCAGGTAAACATATAGACATAAGTGTCTGGTTTATCCACTGGGAATGATTCTTTGATGGCAATGTCTTTACAGAAGGAATTACTATTACTATTCATTATTGAAAATAACTGTTTCTTCTTTACCAGTTTGTTGTTTTAAAGTTAACTCCATTTAGTCTGGGGTTAGAAATCAATGCTACCTGGCATGGCTGTTTGGCAGGATAATTTTGTATCAGACAGCTTATAGGTTTCAAACTGTTTGACCAAACCATAAGAATAATAAATGTACTTCCAGAAAGCAGGGGAAACCACCCAAGAACAGAAGGAAGGCTCTGGTTTTTGGACAATATCTCCATAGCAAATCATTTGACTGTAACAGAGCATCAATTCTAAGAGGTTTTCACCAAGTGTGTTTATAATCCATAGACCTGCAAACCAGGTTGATTTTTAAACCTCTGGTGGCAGACTGTTGCTTGCTCTAAACCGGTGCATGTAAGACAAGATTCCTAAGTCAGCCTACATGGGGTGGAATTGGGCTCTGTGCTGGGATTTTTAAGAGGATTTACCACCACAGGCTGTACCTGCCAGGCATTTCCTCCTGGAGCCTCCCAAGGGAGCTGGAGGAACAACCTAGTGCCAAAGCAAAGCTCCTTGGGCTGAGCTGACCACAGCCAGGCCAAGCCCAGTGTCCTGCAAGGAAAGCTCAGTTTGTTCTTGCCTACTTCCTCCTACTGGAAATGCCACAGTCATTCCTCTGTGTTACCTAGGGGTCGGCAGCATAAGTGTTGGGAAAAGAGTTTCAGTTGGATGGGAAACGTCAAGAGAGTAGATTTGAAGTAAATGAATACTCAGAAGTTCAGTAACAAATACTGAGTAACATTTGTTTGGTGGAAGCTGTCCCACTCTGGTTAAAGACACGCAAAGTTTCTAAACTGGTACAGAGTTAAGCTCTTGTTTGGGACATGTTTAAATTAGCATCAAGGTTAAGTAACATCTGTGAATATTTCCAGTGCTCACAGAGCCAGAAATCAGTTTTGCATCATGCACAAGTGGTAAATAAAGAGTTTCCCAGAGACTTTTGCTTTTCTGTTACCTTGCATCTAATCCTGCCACTGCAATTGCATGGAAATGTGTTGATCATTTGTTTCAGGAACATGTCACAAATATCCCTGTCTTGTGTGGTTTAATGATGGATGAAGCTTGGAAATGGAACTTGTCTGGGGTTTGTTGTAAGGTAAATTTAGAGCATGTGAGTAAAATTCATATGAGCTAAGTGTAATGTCAGTATCCAGCTACCTGGGCGTTGTTTGGTTTCTATGTAAGAAATGATCCATTTCTGTTCATGTTGACTGCAAACATAAGATTTAGGAGAAAGCTGAAGAAGGTCACAGCAGCATATGGCTCTTTCACCTCCTCTTTCCACAATATTACATGGCAACATGTGCTGAATGCATGCAAATAAAATAACCCACTTCTTCACACATGGCAGACCAATATGGATTTTGGTTATTGCTTAAAGATCTTGGTGTGCAAACAGAAATCCTCCAGCCAGCAGCAAACAGATAAACAAGGACAAGAGGTAGCGGCCTCGAGCTGTGCCGGGGGAGGTTTAGACTGGATAATAGGAGCAATGTCTTCACCAGAAGGGTGCTCAGGTGTTGGAACAGGGCAGTGCTGGAATCACCATCCCTGGAAGTGTTCAGACCTGTGTAGACGAGGCCCTCAGTGCCATGGGTTAGTGGTGGCCTTGCCAGTGCTGGGGAATGGTTGGACTGGATGGACTTGACTTTCCAACCTGGTTGATTCTATGATTGTATGAAAGTGCTGATGTGCACGTCAGGGCTCTGGGTACCTGCTGGATCCTACCACAACCCAGACTCACTGTTCACAGCCCAGCTCCTGCTTTCTGTGCCTGGGTATTCCCGCACAGCTGCCTGCCGGGCTTATGCTTTGGAAATCATGAAGTTCTCTGGCCTATAAAATACAGCTGACAGGACTGATCCTGCCAGGATTAACACCCAGAGTCCTGAGGGCTCTGCACAGATCTGAGCTGCCAGCCCCTTCCTGCACACAGCCTTCCCACTCAGTCCAGTGCAGCAGCAGTGTGATTCGGGGGATGGAGGTTTGGAGCTGGCAATGAGCAAGGGAGAAGAAGTGTTGATGCAGCCTTCCTGGATTGTGTAACTCTTGGATTGTGTGGGTTGGTGTGTACATCCAGGGTGCTTGGCTCCTGGCGGAGACATTGTCTGATGAAATAAGAGACTTGCAAAAGCGCTTCAGGGAAGTGAAAACTGCCCTCCCATCAGATGTCCGGTGTTGACACATAGCTGCTTGTGGAGACAGAAAAAAGCACATCCACTGCAGATGATTCACAGGTTCTTAGCTTAAAACAAAAGAAGCTTTGAATGGGCATTTCCTGTTATCCTAAAATAAATAGCTCTTCCCAACCTATAGTTTCAGAACAGGATCTGGGTTGTTTCATAGCCCTGATGGCTGCTGTATCAAAGTGCTTCTCTAGTTTTGATAAATCCCCAGAAGACAGAAAGGCAATATAGCTCCAAGCCAGTTCATCTAAGACTTCTGGATAACCCATATTAGAGGCATAAAAGCATAGCTACAGAGATTCATCATTTGATGCACAACTCCAAGCATGGTCATTTGCAGCCTGGAGAATGGCCTG